GGAAGGATTGCCAGAGCCTAGCAGGTCGAGGCTGCAGTGGCCAGGAGCGGCCACTACACTCCAGTCTGGGTGACAGAGTGAGACTCCAACTCAAAAAAAAAGAGAAAGAAAAAGAAAAATATGGGACTATTCCCATGTTATGGGTGGGAAACTTTGGGTTTAGAGAGTGGCTTGCCTAATTAGGACCAAGAGTTCACAGGCTGCAGAGTCAGAGGGTGACTCCAGGCAGCCTGGGTCGCATCGGTCAGCCACAGCCTTCTTGGAATCCTGAGTCCCTGATGAGTACTTTGTCCCCCACTCTCCCCAACCTCTGTGCCCCAAGGTAGCACCAGGCTGAATGCTCACAGCTGGGCTTACCTGATATTCCCCAACGTGGCAATGATGAGCCCCAGGGCCAGCCCGTGGGCCAGGGCCGGCTGCAGCCGCCCAGTGTCCATCCCATTCTCAATGACCGACAGGCACCCGATGAAAATGAAGAGGGCAGACCCCAGCAGTTCCACCAGGCAGGGCTGCACCAGCCGCTCGTACCAGGATGCAGGATTCTGGTCAGTCACCCTCAGCTCCTTGCCATCACCAAATTTAGGCTCACACATGGCTATCTGCTGGGGAGAAAGGTCAGTGGACATGATGGGAGGCGGGCCCAGATGGAGGGTCCCGGCCTCCAATCTCAAATTAATTCACAGCCACTCTTTGCTCTGCCAGTCTGGAGAGGAAGATGCCGGAGGTGGGCTCACCTCTGTAGACATCAAGTTGGAAGGATTCCAACGCCTGCTTTTTCGGGCCTGAGCTGCTGGGAAGCGTGCACCTGCAGAGCTGGACACTCTTATCTCCTGGACGGGACCTGCCGATCCCGCTACTGGCTCTGCCCCTTTTAAAGGGCCGAGGAGGCTCACTCAGAGCACAGGGAAAGCTATAAAGCCCGGGTGGGCGGAGGCCCTGAGGTTCAGAAGAGGAGGGTTTTTTTTAATCTCATGAGGGCAGGGGCGGGGAAGGGGGAGGTAAGAATTGTGAGTTTTCTGCCAGTAAGGGAAAGGCACTGGGTCACCTGGGGAGCATGCTCCAGGCCTCACACAGTAGGGGGTGGAGGGCCCAGGAAAGCAGGTGGGCATGAGAGGCTTGGAACTCTGCACGGTAAGTAACAGCAAACACCCTCAATTATTTTTCCATGATTCCCCAGACATCTCCTTGCGCTTACCACAGCTGCCCCAGAGGCCAGGCTGGAGGTGACAGTCCCCACTGAGAGAGGCAGCAGAGACTAGCATGAGGCAATGTGGTGCAGTAGTGAAACCTGTGGACTTTGGAAACAGGCTACCTGGATTCCTGTCCCAGCTCTGCCATAAACCAGCCATGTCACCCTTGAGTTCATGACCTAGCCTCCTGCACCTTGGTCCTCTCATCTGTTAAGCATGGATGATGGCGACTGTACCAAGGCCACAGGGTTGTGGTGAAGTTTAAATGAGTGAATATGTGTAAAGTGCCCAGATAGCGCACACACCAGCATTCACACTTGGAGAATAGTGACTTAGGTGTGACTAATATGAGCACGTTCCAAGTGCCAGACACTGGGCTAATAATACCTGGTGTGTATTCTCTCATCTAAACCTCACTGCAGCCCTGTGAAGTAGGTGCTATTATTACAGCCATTGTACAGATGGGGAAGTGGAGTTTCCCAGGAGTACACGGCTTATGTGATCGCAAAACTCGTGGGCTGCCGCAAAAGGACAAACACTGTATATGATTCCACTTATGTGAAGTACCTAGACCAGTCAAATTCATAGACACAGAAAGGAGAATGGTGGTTTCCAGAGACTGGGGGGAGGAGAGAATGGGAGTGAATGATTAATGGATACAGATTTTCTGTTTGGGAGTTTGAAAAAGTTTGGAGATGGGTGATAGAGATAGTAGCATGACTTAATGTCACTAGTTAATGTCACTGATCTGTACACTTTTAAAAATGAATAAAATGGCAAGTTTTATGTTATGTGTATTTTATCACAATTGGAAAAAACTTGTGGGCTAAGCCACTACACTCTACTGCCTTTCTAAGGTGAATGGATGAGTGGATGGATGGATGGATGGATGGATGGATGGATGGATGGATGGATGGACAGACGGGTGGGTAAGAGGGAGGAAGAGAGGGAGGGAGGGAGGGAAGGAGGGAAGAAAAAAAGTGAGATGAGCTTCCTCATTCATTCATTCACCAGATGTTTAAGTAGCTCCAGTGAACCAGTCATTATTCTAAGAACTGACTAGAAGTGCAACCGTGAACAACACAGGAAGGATCTTGCTGTGCTCAGGTACTGTCGAGTGTGCGGATATGAAGATAGAGAAGTCGTCACATTAGAGATGAGTGCATTTTAACGACCATTTCTACCACTTGTTGACCACTCACTATCTCCAACATGGTGCCAAGCACACTGCGTGTATTCACAACCACCCTCTAAGTCCTATGATGTATTAACCCCATCTCCAGATGATAAAAAGGAGGCCCAAGGAACTTAAAGGACTCACCATGGCTGTGTACATAAAAAGTATCTGCTTCGGAACAGAAGTGGATACATCCAAACAAGGGGGTGACAGTTTGTTGACAGTCAGAGCCCAAGAAGACAACCTCCCTGTGGGACATCTGCACCTCTCAGAAGGACTTAGGACCTGCCGTTATGCCAGTTATCTTGGGTATCTTGCCAGTCATCTCTCCTTCCTCCACAGCCCATTGTTCAGGATGTTTCCTTGACCTTCCTTCTGAGTCCCTGTAAATGGCAACATAAGATAGTCATCCAACCCTCAACATCCCCAGCCCCCTCATTCTTTGCTCAAGTCCTGCTTCCAGAATAATCCTCTCTTGTTTTCACCCAGGCCTTTATCAGTCCTTGCTTAGTCCCTTGAAAAAAAAAAAAAAAAACAACTAGGTAGGACCCGGTATCTGATACCTATAATCCCTGTGCTTTGGGAGGCCAGACCTGTGGTGGCTCAGGCCTGTAATCCCAGCACTATGGGAGACCAAAGCAGGAGGATTGCTTGGGCCCAGAAGTTTGAGACCAGACCTGGTAACATAGTGAGACCTCATCTCTACACAAAATGTTTAAAAATTTGCCAGGCATAGCACCTGTAGTACCAGCCGTTTGATAGGCTGAGGCAGGAGTGTTGCTGGAGTCCAGGAGTTCAAAGCTATGGTAAGCCACGATCACACCACTGCAATCCAGTGCTATTGCACTTCAGCCTGTGAGACCCTACATCTAAAAAGCAAACAAACATTCATTAAACCTGCCAGATGCTAGGCCTTGCAATAGACATCTCCGATGCATCTTCTCAGTTAATACTCATAATAACCTATTCCTTTTCTTTCACAGGCTGGAACTCCCTGTTGGTGTTGCTGCAATAACTCTTTATCTGGTCTTCTTACCTCACCTAATTGTCATTCATTCCTTTAACACCGGGAGCTAGTAGGGCACAGTTTGGCACTTGAGTCCAGATTTGGGGATCAGACTGCTCTGTCCTTCCCCTGCTGTCTGCTCTCTCAGCCTTCTATAAAAGGGAGCTCATGGTGGTACCCATTCCCACAGGATGAATGGAATGAGACAATGCACTTAGCACAGGTGCCCAATTCAGAGCAAGTACCCAATAAATAGTAGCTCATCTTATGGTTTGTATTCAGAGTATGAGGAGCAGTCACTGTATGAGAAAGGAGCCCCCCCCAAAAAACGGAATTGTCTTTTGGAGGGCAGGCTCCTTGTAGTACACATGGAATCTGTTCCTCTGGATCAAAAGGTCAAAGTTTTTATCCGGAAGTTTTGACAAGGTTGCGTCACGGTTTGCAGAACAACTGTCATGAGTTGTGGCAAATAGGTGACTGGCTCTTCCACCATGACAATGCACCTGCCTCCGCCACACTCAACATTCAGCAGTTTTGGGCCATCAACAGCACAACTCCCATGCCCCACCCTTCCTATCCACCTGATCTCACCCTGAGCAACTATTTTTGTTTCCCCAGATGAAAAAAGTCTTCAGAGGGAAACGTTTTGCCAATGTGAAAGAGGTGAAACAAAAAATGGCAGAACTAAAAGGCATCAAAACTGACAAGTTCAAAAACTGTTTTGAGCAGTGGAAAAAGTGTCTCGATAGGTGCACTGCATCAAACAAAGAGTACTTTGAAGGCGACTGAAGGCTAAACAGGTAAGAATAAATACACAACTTTTTTATAAGTAAATTCTGGTTGTTTTGAGGTCTCCCCTAATAGGCTAACTGCTGTAATGAATAACCTCAACATTTTTGTTGTTGGTGGTGGTTTTTTTCTCTTTTTTTTTAAGGCTGAATAGTATTCTATTGTGTATACAGACCACATTTTCTTTATCTATTCATCTCTTGATGCACGCTTAGGCTGATTCTTTTTTGTTGTTGTTGTTTTTGAGTTGGAGTCTCACTCTGTCACCCAGGCTGGAGTGCAGGGGCACACTCACAGCCACTGCAGCCTCGATCTGCTGGGCTCAGGTGATCCTTCCACCTCAGCCTTCCAAGCAGCTGGAATCACAGGCGTGCGCCACCACGCCTGGCTAATTTTTTAATTTATTGTGGAGACGAGTTCTCACCATGTTCCTCAGGCTGGTCTCAAACTCCCGATCTCAGGTTATCCTCTCTTCTCCACCTCTCAATGTACTGGGATTACAGGCATGAGCCACCATGCCTGGCTAATCTCAACATTTAAATGCCTTCACATAACAAATTGACTCATTGCTCCATAGCAGACTTGTCTCCAATTGGTGACTCAGGGATCCAGGCTGATTCCATCTTGGAGCTCCCCATCTAGGTCCTTGTATGTTCTCCAGCAAATGGGGAAAGAGAGACTATGTGGGAGGTTATTATCGGCTGGGCCTAGAGATGGTAATGATCTATATTCAGTGGACTAGGACTCAGCCACATGACTGCAAAGGAGTCTGGGAAATCAAACCTGTGTTCTCAGGAGGAAAAAGAAAGGCATTTTTGAAATACTGAGCAACTTCTGCTACCTAGTAGCTATTGTTGTTCCCCAGACTATGGTTCTTTTTTTTTTTTTTTAAATAATAAAATTTTGTTGTCTATATAGACTGGATGTTGTCTAGGCTGGTCTGGAAGTCCTGGGCTCCAGCGATCCTCCCACCTTGTCTTCCCAAAGTGCTGGGATTATAAGGGTGACCCACCACACCCAGCCCAGATTGTTGTTCTAACGGAGTACTCTTCTGAACTAAGACCTTTCAGCATCTCCCATGGTTTCAGAGCAAAACCAAACTCTCTTAGCTAGTTACACAGGCCTTAAGTCCTAGTCCCTGATTCATCTGTTGCCACATAAACCCTACACAATTTATCAGATGAGCCACATGTCCTCACCCTTCCTTGTCCAAGCCATTCCCTCTATTTGGAGTCCTGTTTACCCTCTTGGCCAACTTATACTGCTCATTCGAATCTCAGACCAGTTGTCCATCCAGTTGGGTCAATTACGTTAGTCCCCTAGACACGGCCCTCCCTCCATAGAGGCAAGGTCAGATTTCAAAACTCCAAAACTAGTGGCTTCCAAGGAAAATCTGAATGTCATTCGGTCAAAACAACATATTGCCACTACATG